TAATTTTAGTGGCATTATTGAAAATATACGACAGTAACACGATTTCCACAACGATAAATAAGCTCATGAAACAATTACTGGACATGTGTAAAGCGTCCAAATCCGAATAAAATTATCTGATAAATGTATATATTATTTTATAGCAAATTTTACCCAGATCGGAAATGAAACTTTTGATTAAATTATAAGAAAATGTTTACGCATTAAATAAATGCACGTGTACTGTATACATAATCCTTTGATATACACTGTACATAGACAGGAACTTTGTTCCCTTCAATGTTCATGAATAATAGAACATTTGTGCAAGCATACATAACAAATATACAGATAAATCAGCAAGTAATTGCCACTAAAATGTAATACATTAAATATATGTTCATGTAGTAATACACAACGGTGACTTTGTATATGTCACGAGGTTCAAAATTAATACATTCAAGTTTTTCACCGCCAATCAATTCAGAATATAACAATCTAACATCGGTTGCTGTAAAAGAGGTCAAGGATAACGGTTTACGGCAGTTTACGAGTTTCTGTCACCCTGTGAAAAATAGTCGGTGTTTGATGATTGTTTTCCTTGCATATTATATATATAGAAATCATATTCCGTAAAGAAATAACGAATATTTGAGTATAAATATATACAGCTTCATTCGCATATACTATCATAACAGGCACGTGGAAATGATGCCATTTAAAGCGTGCGACTTTCATTAATTTATTAATTCATACACACACACAGTTAAGAGATGGGCATGCGTCTCTAATATCGGGTAATATATAAAATCTACCATCTCTTGAACTTTCTGATGTAACACAAAATAAAGTTATCAACCTACCCTATTGACCAACTAACTACAGCAAATTAGATATTGATAAGTATATAACTTCAAGTATGACAATACAAGATAATTGATATATTTAATATAAAATACTAACCTATATTATTAGCTAATGATAAATGTCGACAGTATTAAGTAAACGTAAATGATTCATTTAATTTCAGACCAGATTGTGTATACAAACACTGTAGTTTATCGCTTCTTTTTTGTCCTAAATGTGAGGCAACCATTATAGATCTAGATTATAACCACAGCAAGTGATTAAAGGCATGTTCAAACGCAAACGTCTACAATTTAATATACATGTATAGTTTTCTCTTAAGGGTGGAAGCCCGCATAGCTCAATCTGTTAGAGCGCAAGACTTGTAATCTCGACATTGTGAGCTCGATCCCAAGGCTTGCCAACTAAAAATGTCGGATGAGAATAGAGGTCCCATGTATGAGTGCTTAAACACGACCATGAGAAGCTTCTGGAATTGGGATATCTTTTTCCCATATGACCAAGTCAAGCCGCTAAAGAAAATAGTTGAGGATTTGCCTTATAAAATTGCTTATTTCGTGATCATTTATAACTTTGATATAAATTTATATAATATATAATTATACATGTTCGTTGCAGACGACATCTAATCTCACAGGGAATATGCATGTGGTGATATATTTTTGATATGTAAGAGAGATAACTCGTACAAGTATTATAAACGACGAAAGATTTTCCGACGCTGCTCACAGCAAAAAACAATGCCTCAACATAATATTCCGTATGTATTACGGGCACACCCGATGTTGCGGAAGGACAAATTAATAGTTTTGTCTGCAAGTCAGATCACAAGAATTTATCAGCAGGCATACAATGATCATTAGCTTGAATTTCTACAAATTTGCCTACTTGATACATAAATTTAAACACAAGTAATTTCATTTAATTTATTTATGTAGTTAAAATCAAGAGCAAAAAAATGATTTAGATTGTAAAGCCTTTGGACAACGTTTCAGTCAAGACATTTCTAAAAAGAGTTACGAAAAGAAAAACAATTAAAAGACACACAATATAATGAACATATGAACTAATTACCACAAGAAAGTACTATATATTTTTTTAAAGAAAATGCAACAACAAGAAAAATGTCCGGTTAGTTTAGTTTAAAGGTCACTTTCGTTGTGGTTAATTCTAGTGCTTCGGGTCATGTAATCTCATTCAGTCTATAGTCTTCCGTTACTTCAAGTAATCATTCAGTCCATAGTCTTCCGTTACTTAAAGTCTTCCGTTACTTCAAGCAATCATTGAGTCTATAGATTTCCGTTACTTCAAATAATCATTCAGTCCATAGTCTTCGGCTATATGGACAACGCCATGTTTGTTCTCGAAATCGTGAAAATTTTGAAAGCTCGCTTGTGAAGGTTACGAGGTGACCTCCTATTGCTGCACGTCAGATCATAATGTGTAGAGTTGATTAAGAGCTGATTGTAATCAGCCTTTCTTAGCACACAGTGTTGAACTGGTGTGGCTGCTTTAATTAAATCTTTTTGTGACGAAATACCTATGTTGATGTGGAACACGCCCACATGTAATTGAGGCCGGTCGCCTATCCACGGTCGCTCTAATTTGGACTAAGATTATTCCCTCTTCGGGGGTTTTCGTTTTGGTTTTAACATAACTAAACTTGAAAATGCTTGTAAACCTCTAAGGCTCTGTCTTTAGATACCATTTGTATAGATAGACTAGCAATCTGATAAGCTTTTAATATCGTGCATACGTGAATGTTTTTACTTAATGTATACATTGTTTTATCATTTATTTTCAATCAGTTTTCGCGTTCATTTGAAAGAAAATAAATATTTTTAAAGGAACTCCATTGAGATTCAAAAGCATAGAACATAAAGTTTTAATTTCTTACATACATCAGCTGGCAGGTGGAAGACGAAAATAAAAACTTTTAATGCCAAGGGCTTTAAAGCTGCATGCCTCCAGATGAGTAAAAATATTTCAATAACATCAAACTTGAGAAATATGTACTAAGATGTAAGGCAAAGTAAAATGATTAAAGATTAAAGTTATATTTTACATGTTATGTGCGGTTAATGACTGATTTTTCAGTATTTACAACTATATTTCTACTGCGTTACTAATGCAGTAAGGCCATTAATGCATATTTTGACCACTGTTTGGTAATTTACGTGGGTTGTTAGTGTCATTGATAATGTGTGAATTGCTTCCTTTTGGTTGTTAGTGTCATTGATAATGTGTGAATTGCTTCCTTTTGGTTACTTCACAATATTATACTGTTAATTACATATTCAAAAAATTCATGAAAATTAGCATGAATCTGGAGGCGTGCTGCTTTAAGAACTTCCCTTTATAGAGTCTTGCAATTTGTCCGTCAGATGTTATTAAAAGCGGAAAGCATTTTAGTGGGTATGCCTTAAAAGTTTTAATGAAACGACTGATGATTGGCGAAAAGTTACTTGCTTCTTCCATTCAGCTTTGAGTTAAGGCAATTTTTACATTTAAAATAATCGAGGTTAAACATTATAGTCATTTACAGATGATAGCCGACAAGAGCTAACTAGAGTACGTTACCTCGTGATACTATGTCAAAGATCAAACAATTTCAAAGCATATAATGTATCCGATGAATTAGACAGTCCATTGCCTATGAATGATTTAAAATTGCAGCTTGAAATAGCATATGACATTGCATATTTCAGAACTCATTGCAGTACCAAACTATGATTTTCACATTAGATTCAGCGAAGAAAATTAAATTACAGAGAGAAATAACATTTAACACATGATAACATAATTATATTTGATGTTAAACTGGGATTTTCTTAGAATTTGTTGACATTGTAAAAATACAATTTTGGTCTAAAGAGACAATCTGTTTTGGGTATTTGCGCAGCTATGTTTTAATGGAGTCTAAACGGATTATCTTTAAACGCAATTCGGGCTTCCATGTAATAAAGTTTTACCTTACAATAAACAAACCTTACAATTAACAAACCTTACAGTAAACAAACCTTACAATAAACAAACCTTACAATAAACAAACCTTACAATAAACAAACCTTACAGTAAACAAACCTTACAGTTAACAAACCTTACAATAAACAAACCTTACAATAAACAAACCTTACAGTAAACAAACCTTACAGTAAACAAACCTTACAATACACAAACCTTACAGTAAACAAACCTTACAATAAACAAACCTTACAATAAACAAACCTTACAGTAAACAAACCTTACAATAAACAAACCTTACAGTAAACAAACCTTACAGTAAACAAACCTTACAGTAAACAAACCTTACAGTTAACAAACCTTACAGTTAACAAACCTTACAATAAACAAACCTTACAGTAAACAAACCTTACAATAAACAAACCTTACAGTAAACAAACCTTACAGTAAACAAACCTTACAATAAACAAACCTTACAGTAAACAAACCTTACAGTAAACAAACCTTACAGTTAACAAACCTTACAATAAACAAACCTTACAATAAACAAACATTACAGTAAACAAACCTTACAATAAACAAACCTTACAGTAAACAAACCTTAAAATACACAAACCTTACAGTAAACAAACCTTACAATACACAAACCTTACAGTAAACAAACCTTACAATAAACAAAGAAACCTTCTTGTTTGATGCTATTCAGTTCAATAAATTTTAGGTATGACTCATGATGGAATTAAAAAGAAGCTATTCGTACCTTTGTAAACATGTGATGTCCATATCTTCCAAATATTTACATGTCATACTATGATGAAAATTAATGAAAGAAACTAAATAATTGTCAGATTTATGTGTTCATCATTTTCTGTCATCAAATATGTTATGGCCATTTAACATATTGTTAAAATAGTAAATTTGTTTTATAGAAATGAAAACATACCTAAAACTTATATGGTAATTAAGGAGCTATTTAATATTATTAATTCATTATAAGTATCAGCAGTTTTATTTTTGCGTCATAAATCATAATGTGAACAATACAATATACATGTATGTTGATTAACAATACCACTATGTAAAGCAAACAAGCAAACTAAAACAACAGTGTAAAACGCATGAAAAATATGTAGAAGAAGGTGGTTAACAAAAGAAATTTTCATCAACAACAAAGGTGGATAAGAAATATATGCTTTGTATGTAACAAACAATTTCCAGTCTTTATCATCCTGCTTAATAAAGTCTGAATAGTGACTAGTTCCTTTTGATGCTGTGGTACCAAACTTCATGCAACAAAAATCAAATCAACACATTTCCCTTATGATCAAATAAAGCCGCTACAGTAAATACCCGACAAACATCATAAGGATCGGCGTCAGATACTGGTCTTCTTTCTTCGATGTAACCTTTACCTTCAGCTGCAACATGGGTTGGTATTCTGATACTTGATTGATGTTTGTCTCCTACTGTATACTTGAATTCGTGATATAACGGCATGTAAAACTCGCCATCCAAATACCATTTCATTTCCTCACCATTTGATATGTCGTAATGTTTAAACATAGCTTCTTGGGGATACTTTGATATATTATCTATTATGCTATATAAAGTCCTGAAAAAAGAGATATTGGAGTTGTTGTTGTGTTTCATACTGAAAAGTTATCTTTTACATTTCTAGAGTGTTAATTATCATTTGATTTGTTTATTTGTCACACCCAAAACAGAATACGCCAACTTCACACATCTCATAAGGCAACGTTTCAGCTTTACTGGTGGTGCTTTTCTGTTCATTATGTCAGGCACGACCGGGCATTTGAGTAGAAACACCGGCCTTCCGTTAGCTAGCTTGATAGCTTCCTTACATGAAAGAATCCAAACTCCCTGTCGGGATTCGAACCCGCAGCGGTATTCACTAAAAGTTATTAAATTACATGTTTCTAAGCTCAAATATGATTGATAATACAAACAGAAACTAAAACAAATATTTTCACAGCAAACTGTGCCCAAACAAAGTCAATTGCTGTCACTTTAAAATCGTAACTAATATTTCGAGATTTATTTATATAAATCAAAGATTTCAAAATATACTTACTGTAAACCACCTTCTTCTCGAGATTTCTTGGTACTAAAATTAAGATGAAACGTTTGTCGAGCATTTGTTCCTCGAGCGCAGTCGATGTTACGGAAGGATATTTTTAAATTGTGCATTTCTGCAAGACGTAGGAGAATATAGCGGGCAAATATCACATGGTCAGCAGCTTGAATACCTGGCGATGGTCCGACTTGAAACTCCCACTGAAAAGTAGAATTACTGCAAGTTAATCCATTTTTTAATATTGCAAAAAAATGTTTTATCATCCAAACCACTGCTGTTGATCGATACGCTCTTTCTTAACATTTGGACCATTTGAAAGTCTTATCAATCAATCATTTAGGAAAAACGATGTTCTAATCATTAAAATGAAACAAAAATCACTATCTGGAGCATTCTTTACTTACAAGATGATAATACAGATGATTTATCTTGGATAAGCCATAGTTTTATTCAGAATATTTGTACATGTGTAAGAAACAACATTACAATAATGATTTGTCTTGAACTATGTTCTTGTTTCGTATGTCTTGCAACTGATATTCAAGATTTTCCAGTGCACTTCCCAGACGTCATACGAAAAAACACGTGATCATTCCATGATAAATGGATTGAGAAGAATCTACCTTAACTACTAGGCCACCACATCTTCCAAATGAAAATAATCTACAACGAGGACATCTTGAAAAGACAGACTATAACGTAGCCAAAACATGCTGCGTGTTTTATTCATTTTCTTTCGGCAAAAGAGACCTTGCTTTTGACATTGGACACAATATTTGAGATATCAGCGTAGTCTAATTTTTGGTCCCACTATCGTTATTTCTCTTTAAATGGACTGAAAAAGGCACCAAAAACAAATTGCCATCCGTTCCTGTACCATCCTTAAGACGGATTTGATCAATTTAATTATAGTTTTATATACATTTGCCAAAATATGTCTTTGTATATATTGTTTAACAAAATCGGAAATATTTTGATACAGAATGTTAATTTAAAGCTATACTGCTTATGCTTTAATTTAAAACTAAACCTATCTTTAAAGGTGATACCCCTACCAGCAACTTTGACCTCAACATATAGTAAATGAAGTATAAACTATGTACAATGAATTAATTCAATTAATTGCAATCCCAACCAGGATCTTCATGTAAACTTGCTGTATACCATGACTGATTACAATACATTATTCCAAACTCTAGTTATCGCCCAGAAACCATGATGTGGACCGACTGACCGACAAGCTGACTCCTATATACCGCCCCACCCTTCCCCGCAGAGGTATAATAAGGATTTATTGACTTTATGGATATAATATCAGTTAACACATGAGCCGCGTCACGACAAAACCAACATAATGCGTTTGCGACCAGCATTGATCCAGACCAGCCTGACCAGATCAGATGCATCCATGCTGTTCGCTATCAGTTTCTCTACTTGTAATAGGGTTTGTAAGCGAACGGCATGGATCCTGATCAGACTGCGCGGATGCGCAGCAGGCTGGTCTTGATCCATGCTGGTCGCAAACGCACTATGTTGGTTTTGTCGTGACGCGGCTCAGTTATACCTGTGATGGATTCATTTCCCTAACACATCCGTACATATCTAAACCAGCATAAATACACGCTCGTAGGTGAAGGTCCACAAATTGCCGCTCAAAACCTACATGATCTCCAATCGTCAATTCACTGTTAATATCTACAATTACATGTAAACGTTCGAAAGGATATTTTTCCTATGTCATGAACAAAAATAAATGAATTTCAGATTAAGAATTATATTACTTAAGAAACAAAATCATCAAACACGTTTTTATAGAAAAAAGAATGTTGGCATTAATGGAAGAAAATACGCTGCTTAAGCTTTACAATATTATAATCTTAAAATTCAAACTTTAATGTGCTAATATTGAAAATATAAGGCATTTCATGCACATACCTATAGATGGCTGGAAATGTGCCCAATCTAAAGGGATATCATTTTTATGAGTAATGTAGAATTCTTGCTCAATACCAAACCAGGGTTCATGCTCCTTTACTTGATCTAATATCTCTTTACATTTCTTTCTTATATTGTACTCTGAAAAACAAGTGTGTGTTTTAAAGAAATAATTTATATATTGCAGAAGATATGATATGAAGGATAACTAATGTAACTTTTTCAAAGTTAGTCAGATGAATTTTAATTGCATTATCATTTATAAATATTGAGAACTATAGAAGACATTTATTTCTATGTGCTTCTAGGTTCATTCTTGTTTATTCTTTTACCTTAGTTGAAAGATAATGTCCGAAAAGCAACGTATTTATAACAGGAAATTAAATGCAGTTTTCAGGACAGTTTGTTAATCTGTAACCCTATATTTAAAGCTTAAATTATACATAGATAAACTGGGTCACTTAAAACAGAAATAACCACCGCCTAGTTTTGACCAAGTATGAATCAGATATGTAAGCAAATAACAAAGTTTAAACAATCAAAGCAGATTTCGATAATTTGACATTGATAGCCAATGTCAATCAAGATCAGGGTAATATCAGAATAATTCAAATTGTCTATTTTGTCAAATGTGGTTTTTTGTTAAAGTATTAATCAAGTCTGTAGTAAAAAAATAACAAAGTTATGATAATGAAAGCAAATTTCAATAACTTGACATTGAAGGTCAAGGTCATAACAAAATATTTCTAAATGTTAATTTGTCATAAGTGTTCTTTTCTCCAAGTATAATCAAATGCATAGATAAATAACTAAAAAATGGTCATTCGTAGCAAAATTCACTATTTTGACGACATCAACAACTGCTGCTGATGCTGCTTCTGTTACTATTAGTATGATTTGACCTTGAAGGTCAAGGTCATTCAATTACGTCTACATAAAACAATTCATTTATAAATTACAAAATTATAGGCTTTGTCACTTATAGCAAAAGTAAGCAAAAATCAAATATTTGACCATAAAGTTGGAGGTCATTCAGGTGTACTTGAAGGTCTTGTCTGTCCAAGGAGAGCTATGAAGACCATTTTTTTCTAGGAAAAAAGTCAAGCTAAAAATAAACTCAAAAATAAATTGAACATATCGTATTTTGTGCTTTTTTTTTGTCCGATTAAGGCAATACTTGAATGTTGGTAATTTAAGAATAATCAATTAAGTACATGTTCAGTGTTTTTAGAAAAAAAATGCATGTTTTATTTTTATTGCAATGTGATGCTCTATCGGTTCATTATGATATAGATTATATGTATCTTGAATTTCTCACCGACGTCTTTATTTCTTTTATCTGGATAAGCTGGCTCACAGAGAACTATCTTATGCTTGCCTAACCTAAATGGATCTCTACACATAGCAACAGGTACCAAAGCCAACTCAGGTGCCGGATGCTTTGCTTCGATTGTATCGAACTCGTGTATATGCCTCACCGGGCACTCTGTAAAACACTAATTATGTTTTGTATTTACATTTGCGAGTCATTTTCTCACACTGTGAGCATGAAACAGAATGAATACTCAAACGATATAAAAACAATACTGAATATATATATATATATATATATATATTATATATATATATATATATATATATATATATATATATATATATATATATATATATATATATATAAAAGAAAAGAAAATATACACTTGGTTACTTCAAAATTATGTATATATACATGCGCAAAATATTGGAACATTAGTTACATGCATACAAAGCATATATTTTTATCATCTTTGTTGTTGATGAAAAGATGTTTTGTTAACCACCGACTTCTACATATTTTTCATGCGTTTTACACTGATGTATTTTTTAAAACTTTTTACCATTATGTGACTTTGGTTCGGTATCCACCACATATGTTTTAGACAAAAAGCTCGAACGTGTGTACTTCACTATCATATACTCCAATATAACCTTCTTGCCATCATCCGGAATTTGCAACGGTTTAACAACAAATTCTTTTGTAGTCATCTGAAAGAAGTGCATTTCATTTAGGGATTGAAAAATATTACATATATACTAGACTAAAGCTAAAAAATAAATAAAATATTGATGCAACTTTTTTCATGATTTGACTTTGGTTTTGAAATCCGCTCAGATAAGTTATCCAAGGGGTCGCTGGTTAATGTCTCTGTCACGGCGAATAAGTTCGTGACAAGAGACCTCGCGTATATTATATGCAAAACACCGGATGTCATGTAAAGTTATGATAATTTTTTCTCTTTGTTTTATTTTTTTTTGATAAATAATCACTATACTTTTCTTGTTTGGAAGGCCACATTATTTTCTATTCAAACTTTGTACACTAATATGTTACATTTGAAATAAAGAATTTTAATATTACAATTATTATTTGTCTTTAACATGTATATTATAAGCATGTGTATATCTGTTGATTGTTTCAGTTGAATTTTATGCGTTTGTAAGAATTATATATACAGTATCCTAACAGTCATGGTGCATAGACACTTGTGAATAAGAGTAAGGCCCTGCTCCCCAACGCGATACGCCTATGTAAATGAGGCATCTGTTACAAAGATAAAACTGTTTTTGTTTTAAATTTCCGCATAAATCAAAAACAAATAAACTTTTTACCGTGAAGTCTCAGTAAAGTAAAGATTGCAGACTCCAAAATGTGAGCACAGATTCCTAAAACCAGTAAAACATGTTAAATAAAACATAACCGTGACTTTTTTCGGTGAAAATCAATAGAATATCGAATTTTCTACCAGGTGCAATTTATACAACACATTTTTATATCAAAATCAACATTTAATAAAAATCGAAAGTTTTTGCGTCCTGGTCAAGCATTACGAAAGGTGTTCCCAGCTACTCACTTTCGACTACTTGCGCATTGTATCGAAATCCTTATTTCTCGTGCAAGCACGTAATATAAAAGACCTTTTATGCGTACTAAATCTATTAATAAGATTCACAGTGTGTTGTTTTCCTATTCTATAATTATAATGGATTCTTTTTCTTCTTTTTTAATTCGTGTTTTCATGTTAAAAGATTTTTTAAATAGTGTTTACAGGGGCGTATCACGTTGCATAACCCCCAAGCGTCTGTGTCCTGGTGTTCACTCATTTAAATGAAGATGAATTTATTTTGTCCTGTTGCATCAACTGTATTTTAAAATCAATTTTAATTGAATAATTAAAATATCATTGTTCGAACAATATAACGTATGTAATCCTAACAATTTTACATA